ATATATATATATATATATATATAAAATCTTTTAATACTGCACTAATTTAATGGAATATAAATGATCGAATTCAATTAAATCGCCGAAACAAAAGTTTCATTTTCTTACAAATCTTTGTGCAATAAACGTTAGATAGAGTATCAGAAATTCTAAAAATTAATTCGAACCATAGGATTTGAATTACATTGCAGCATCAATCCGACATCAGAACATTCGTTCGTGTCTATCGTAAACTATCGTCAATAGACCTTCATAGATACGGCTGTAATCTAGAAGAAGAAGAAAGCAAATATCGGAGAGCCGGATCTCCCGACTCCGATTGCGAACTCGCAGCCGCAGATCGAGGAGAGTCATCAATGGTTTCTCCGGGATGTGTGCGAGGGCAGAAGACTACAGTACGCTACGATCGGTCACGTGATACGCCCACGCTCATTCACGATCATTCAAAAATCCGCCGAGTCGCCCTGCGGCGACCGGCGAATGGAAAATGTCACCGTCGATGGGGAGCCCCGGCCGGCTCGATCGAAGACGGTACCGTTTCATCGCCGATGCGTGACCGGCAGGCAGGTGCTCTCGTTCGTGAGAAAGTATACACGAGCGAACGTCGTCAAGCGCGAATCGATCGAGCGCGCGCCGAACGTTGCACATATAATCGGAGCAAGGCTGCTTGGTATACGCGGTTTTTTTGGTGCTTTCCAGCATCAAAGATGTAACACAGTGATCATTTCAGCTTTGTTTAACATTGGCAAACAACAAGAATTCAATGTATTAAGATGATTCTACAGAGTGATGATTAGTAATATTGAATCAATACTGACAATACACATCAATAGTTTTAGTATTTTCACAATCTTACATGATTGGTATTATTGATCATATATTTCACTTTAATTTTACATACATTTATCTATTGTACCGATGATATGGATCCTAGTAAAGCGATACTGATATTAGAGAATCAAAATCCGGATTGTCATCATCATCAGTATCTATGTCAATCCATCATCAATATTAACCATGTACTATCAGTAATATTGTCAGTATTTGTTAATACTGGCAGTATTATTGACCGTGCAGGATCACCTTTGCATTGTGTCATCTGTGCCTCTCCTTGGAAAGCACCCTTTATTACACGCGTTACAACCCGGAGTTGGGCGACGACAGAGTACGTGGACACGCGAGTACGTGGATGTGACGTGGATGTATTCAATTCGGTTTGACTCACCGCAAAGACAGCCTTCGCTGAACAGTTCAGTCAAGCGTCAGTATCACAATCCGGAGGAACAGGCCTAACACACTCACGCAGACACGCAGGATAACCCCCTGCCAAGAATTGACACAAGCCACACAGACAGCTGTTCACGATTTTGTACACAACCACCAGACAGCGCGAGCATCGCAATGACTCAATGAGTCATTTCGCAGGGCAGGGGAGGAATAAAACCGATCAAATCGCACTCCGAGGAGAGGGGAGGTATCGATACGCAAGAAAAATCGATGCATGTACCGACCCCGATGATTAGTCGAGATATCGATGCAAATGATTTTATTTATCAATATAATTTTGCCTCTGGAAAATCACTAATGTTCACTTCTACAATGTAGATTTTAACTTTGATTTAATTTACTTTTTATTCTTTTTTTTTAGTTCGGAGGATCAAAAAAATAAAGAGTAAATTAAACATTAATAAAAATGCAAAATGAAACAATCGTATCGACTTATAACATGTGCGAGAGATGATATAGTAATAACAATTTTGTAAAAATTATATGTATTTTGAAATTATATTTTTTTATTATTAATATTATTAATATTATATCTTTTTATCAGAAATAATCTTTTTCTTCTCCAATAATATCTCCTTACATAATATTATTGTACACTTAAAAATAAATTTGAGATGATGAATAGCTAAATGGTAGAAGTCATCCATAAAACAAAAACACACATTTGAGTTCATTTAAATGGAAAAATACTGTCCCACTGCATCAAGGAATCAGAAATTATAAGCTTCAGAAACAAACAAGGCCAAGATTACTTTTATTATTATAATTAATACAATGAAACAGATGGTAATATTATACAATAAAATAGTACCGTTTTACAATGGAGCGCTATAAAGCTGCATACGTTATGTAGCATTTATCGAAACATTCTTCATTGTGTTTTGATCTTGTTTCTTCCTTACAACGATATGTAATCCTTGAGTTGTTCATCAATTTCAGAGTTAAGAGTAAGCATCAACTGGTCAAATTGATGATCCCCAACTATGCCTCGTAACGTGATCAGCTAACAAATTTCGAAAGATTGTCTTTGAATAAGTGTCGACAAAATCTAAAAAATATTTATAAGAAATTCTCACCTGACTTTGGAGCGTATCTTTTAAGGATACACTGTGTACAGGATCATTAAAAAGAAGTCTCTTCTGTCGTTGGGCATGTTCGGTATCATAATCTACATCCTCATATTGCGAAGGACTGGGCTGATCAGTAATCATCAAGGAACTAGAATAATTTCATTTTGTGATGCACATATATTTTAAAGTTCACTTTTCTGTTTTCTTTATAAGAATTTTACGATTTTATCAACAAATATAATTACGATACTCAATAAATATACAGGAAAATAATGTTTGGAAAATAATGATAAATCTTTCTCATAGAAGCAGAATGGATCTAAATTGAGAAAAAAAGTCCTCTATCATTTTGCAATTTTTGCAATAATTAACAAGATATTAATTGCTAAAAATTGCCGAAAATTGGTTTTCAATAATTTTTTTATTCAAATATTATCAACTTTTCAGAAAAACTGCAAGAGACAAAAATTTACTTATTTATAAATTTATTTTCTTCTTATAGAGCTTTAAGAATTTTTTCAGAATTTTTTAATATCATATTTTCTCATGTTGTAAAAATGGAAAAAATGCAGTACTAAAAAGTTGATAAAAAATTATGAAAAAATTCGTAGATTTCTATGAGAAAAAAATAAACAATTTTTGTCCCTTGTAATTTTTCTGTAAAATTGATGGTATTTGAGTAAAAAATTATTAAAGATCAATTTTCGGCAATTTTTAACAATTAATATCTTGTTAACTAATGCAAAAATTGCAAAATGGTAGAGAACTTTTCTTCTCAGTTTAGATCCATTCTGTTCTTATGAGAAAGATTTATCATTATTTTCCAAACACCCTGTATATTTACAGAATATTTTTTAGTAAACAGTTATAAAAAGGTACCTATTCAGTATAAATTTGTTTAAAATTTAAACAATCATTCAATATAAATGTTAAAGGATTATGACTACTAGTTATACTCCATTGTTGAAAAAGATTTGATCTCACATAACTCATCCCAATTAATAAAAAAATGTCAAGTCTTACTCGACAGGATATCCCATATCGTCAAACTTGGTGACATCATTAAGCGTTTCGACAATGTTTAATATTATTTGCGGGAAATATTCAAGAACGGTGGGCGGACTGTTTGCTCCGAGAAGAGAACAGAGTGCAAGAGCTAGTAATTTGCGCCTTTCGATCTGAGTTACCAGTGGCATTGCGTTAACCCAACTGTGTATCAGTTTTCCGAGTACAATGTCTTCCCTCGTTTCGGTTCCTATACTCCGCGCTAAATCGCTGATTATCTGTAATAATAATCTTCATTATGGAACTAATTTGTACAAGAAAATCACGGTTGAGATAGAATTTTTCTTACCTGTACAAAAATATCACGGGAACCTAATAAAACTCTTGCGACTACAGATAGTTGCATAGTCATGACTGATGAATACTCGTCGCCGTAATAAACACTCCTGTTAACATATCGTATCACGTTTTAAACTAAATATCCAAGCACGATATTTCTCAGAGGCATCTACTTACTCGAATATTTTTAGCAAAACGGGTTTTATCAATTCTGCACCCTGTTGAGGAGAAGTTCTGAGACAGATCTCAAATAATTTCAACACCATCACTCTACCCTCTGAACGCAAATCACTGAGAAGCGTTTTCAGCGATTCGATGATCACTGTACTCCTCTGAGTGAAGAAATCTTGTGGGCTCAATAACACGTACATTTGAATTATGTACAAACATAAACGCAGATTCTCCGAAGATTGATCTGAAAATGATAGAGAAAACAGATATCATCACATATAAATCATTAAGACTCTTTAACAATCATATTAACAGAATGAGATGATGCATCAGATGAGATGATTTCATCTGTAAGCATGTTGACTCATTTGGATGGTCCCAAGTTCGATCCCACATCTCGATTTTATAAAGTTTATTAGAATTATTAATAGCAAACTTATATCACTAACCCAATAATGCTGGCATATTTCTGAAGAGATCCATTATAGATGGTGTTGGAGAAGGCGTGTTTTCTAATAAGGCTATCCACAGCTCTAATCCGTCTTCTAATAAATAAACGTGTCCTTCTTGATTGACATCAACACTTAGAGCCACGACGCCTACCACCAACGGCTCTAGATTGACACTTTCAGAACCTAGAGCCTGTTGATACATTAGATATAAGCAATATTAATATCAATAAAAATAATGGTTTCTGATTCAAAATAATAATCGAAAGTGTTAACAGGATCCTAAAATCATATTTTATTAATTAAATAATTTTCGTAAGGAATTTTCGTATATAAATTATTTTCAGATTTAAAGTTCTAATTTGTTTTTCAGATTTGACATATGTGCATTAATATATATCTGGTGAATGGAGTTTGCGCGAATAAACAAATTTTTTGAAATCTTTTTTATTATTTCTTCAATTCAGTGTAGAGCTGCCAAATTATAACACTGAATGTATGTAAATTGTATATGTTAGTCAGTAAAACAATGATCTCGTCGAAGTTTAGTCTTCAGTTTAAGATCTCCTTCTTGCCTATTTCAGTCATCACAATGCAGCAAATCTGGACTCGTTCACAGACTCGCTGCATCGTGACTGAAACAGAACCAATCAATCGTAATCGGTAATTCGTACAATTCGAGTTTTAGGAGTCAGCGTGATAAATAGTGAGCAATTTTAGAAAATTTTAATATTACATAACATGGTCAATATGTTCACATATCATGGTGAATTAATAAATGATTTTCATTCCACTTTCAGTCTTCAAAAAAATCATACAATGAAAGAACCATATAGCTCATTAAGATGGAATCGAAATGAAAAATGTTTGTTAATTTTAAATATCGATATATATATATATATATAATAAACTAAATTTTATTTTTAAGATTACACACTTTGTTTATTACACTAAATCCTAGCCTCCTTTCGATTATTATTTATTAATAGCATCAATTTAGTAGTTTAATATCGCATATTCACCTTTTCCAAGTGTATCAGAGTCGATACTATGGCACACCTCAGCATATTATATATTTCAGATTGCTGCCAAAGTTCAGGTAAATACGAGCTGAGTGCACCAACATGTGGTTTGATTCCATTGCCAACACGCTCGATAATAAAAGATAACACAGACAGCACATGCATCTGATTGTAAAAGATAAAAATACTTAATAAGAAAAATAACTAACCTAAAAATATTGAGAAAAAAATAAATGCTAATTTTCCACACATACTTTTGTATCGCACTCGTTTACTTCTTTAAGAAGTGAGAAAAGTAGAGAAAAAATTGGTTCCAAGAAAGGAGAAAACTTCTCTGGATCAAATTGAAAATCATCGATTGCTTGTTTCAGAGCATTGCTCGCTGCTAAACGAACTCCTAAGTCCTCTTCGGGATTCAATGTTTCAATCATAAGCTTATATAACTCTGGCCTTAGTTCTTCACTTAATTTGATATCTACAAACAATAAATTTGCAAATAACAAACAATAAACAATCATTAACATTTAAAATCTTTATCTTTTCAATGAAATGTTCAACGTACTCGTCCATTGACCAATCAACCAACACACACGTCTTCTGATAATTCTATAATTGTTGTTTCGAACCTTTAATTCCTCTTTTAAAGTCGTCGAAAACCATTGATCAAAGTTTACCTGCGCAATGATATAATAACTATAATAATAGATTAAATAAACATTTATATAAATAGATTTGTTCTTTTTAATTGAACTTCTTGCATTCATTCTTTTCTCTTTTTCTCTCCAACGCGAAGAGAAAAAAAAGAAAGATGAACCGTGCAAAAATTTTAACTAAAAAGAATAAATCTTCTTAAAATACTGTTCACTTACCTCGTCATACAAATCGAATGCAGCAAGACCAACCGCGCGATAAACCGCGTCTTTCACTAGAATCGCATGCAGATTGTTAGGATCGACAGGTTGGTGATGCTGTCGCATCAAATCAACCAAAACCGAAGCAAGAATATCTCTATAGTGATGGAAGATCGCCAAAAATAAGGATTCTGTGCAAGGCTATAACATAATATTTGCATTATAATACATTTATAGAATAATTATATATTTTAATCATCATTTTTATTATTTGTGATTTACTCACCCTCAAGCTATATTTCCATGATTCTCCACCATCATCAATAGCTGAAACAAATAATACTTTTCATATTCTATTTTTTTTTTTTTTTTATTTAATTTTCATCTCATATGATTTTATTAAATGCAATGTGAAATATATTATTATATAAAATATATAATTCCATATTTACCGAAATTTTCTGGTTGAGTATCCCACATTTCAAGATCCGCAGGTGTCAAAAGGAAGTAATGCGTGACAAGCCTGGAACAAATCTCCGTTAATATTTCCGGTGTGAAAAATTCTTGTCTCAATTGGCATGCCCTCAGAACCAATGGATCTTTCGTCTCTGTTTTGATAAAGAAAGAACAGTTGTTAATATGGAATGACATGACATAGACAAGTAAGAATAATGCAGCTTCTATACCTTCAATAATCTTAGCTGGTCTGTAATACGTCGATAATAAAATGGTTTTTATTAAATTTAGACACTGAATAATAAATCTTTCAAATGCTAACGCTTGGCCAGCTTCTGTAAAGCAATAAAAAACGGAGAATTCTAAAGAAGTGGGTATGAGTTCCACATAGCAAAACGGATGCATGTCTATGACTCCTATTAAAACTTTGGTCAAATGTATTATAAACTTTTCGCAAACATCCACTTGCATTCCTCTAGAAGCTAAAGTTTTTCCTAAAAAAAAAAGAAATAAAACAATATAACACTTTTACAATATCATATGAAATTCAATTTAAATATTCCAAAGAATAAGTAGCTGTTTAAAAAAAAAAAAATACTAACGGCACTCAAGGCAGGTCCTTGCACGCTCGAAAACGACTTTCAGAAACAACATGGCATCTTGAGATTCGGATGGTTTGGAAAAACCATTTACGATCAGTTGCCTAAGTATTCTTAATAATAGAAGTGCTTTTTCTAAGGTTTCTTGTGTCTGATTGACGTCGGCCCCATTAGATGCCATAATCAGGAAGGATTCAGTATAAGTATTCCATAAGTTTAGGATAAAATTGAACATAGTCGCAGTCAATTCTCGGAAGAGCCTCTGTCCATCGGCCAAGCGTCGAGACGCCAAAGCTTTGACAACATGATGCAGTGTTAATACTGCCTGACGTTGTGCTAAAGAATTTTCTTGCCTTATAACTTCCAATAATGTTGGTACCAGTGTACCCCATTCTCTAGGACAATCAAACCTATAAAATAAAATGTAAAATAAAAAGATTAAATATTTTAATTTATCACATATATTGTGTGATTGAGTGTATTACGTTACAATTTATTATATTATATATATTACATATATTATATTCATTACCTTGCTATCTTGGCAATAAGGACTGCTAATTGTATAGCTAATGGACTCATAGGTTCGTCAAAATTTCTGAGGAGATGCTGTCGTAAAAATTCCTTCTCATTGTCTTCAATAGCACTAAAATAATGGCGTGTGTTATTAAATATATACTATTGTTACAGAAGTTATAATAATATGATTTGTATATGATATAACAGAATGCTTCCTGTTCTAAGAAAATGACTCTTACTTTGGTGCATTTTTCCTCCAGTACCTCTCAACTCCGATCTTCAAGTATACTACAGCCATCCATCTAACTTCAATAGCCAAGGAATGATTTGAAAGAACATTCTAAAAATAATTTTTACGTGATCAGTCTTAATTTTTAAATCACGAAATATGTAATCATATCAGGTCTATTCTTTATAGCTAAACCAATGTAGATTATATTTAAAATAAAATATTAAATATTTATCGTTTGCTTACAAAGATATTCAGAAATCAAAACTTTCCAGAAAATTAGTTTAAATGTTTTAAATCATTAAAATTTAAAAAAATGTTGATTTTGAAATGCAATTTTAGTACAATAACTGATTATAGAAGAATAAAAATATATTCTTTCTTTTTTCATGTTTACATTCTCTTTCTGTGAGTAAAAATATAATGATATAATATACATAAATAAAAATTATATATTTTGTATATAATTTTTATATATATTGTTGTAGAAAATGAACGAATATATTTGATAAATTATTGAAAGAAAAGTTCTAATACAGTTCAAAGAACAGACTCAATTCTAAACCTATACATATGTTTATCTTAATATTTAATTGCTTTCCATTTAACTCAAATAATTCTCACTTATACATGATGACTCAGTTAAATGAACGTTTTTCTTCATTCTGTCAAGTAAGACTCAACTAAGTTTCACCTATAATCTGTAAACTTGAGATCTTGTATTTTAACTCACACATTAAAATTACAGTTTTAAAACCTGCATGTTGTGTGATAATTTTGTCACTAAAATAATGATTCCATTATCTGAGTATAAATAAACTCACATCACTTCAGACTCAGTATGTGAAAATAGAAAGCAACCTGTTCCATGTAACATTCCATAAATCCAGTACGTACATGGAAAATAGAAAAAATATTTATAGACTTATAAGCCTGTAAAAAAATTTTCTTCTGTCCAGCACAGGAGACTTACATATAACGCAATATAAAATCCTCGCTGAGTTTCCCATTGCTTAAGCGTTTCCTCTGCAGACTTCAGAACATTGGGGTCTTGACTGACCGCCTGTCGTAGGACTTCTATCACCGCGGCTTCCATATCTTCTTACTGTACACAATATTAGCGAATATTACAAGCTCCGTCACGATTCTCACCCTAACAATATTTATCCCCGTGCGATTATTATCTAACGTCGCGCAATTGCATCATGTGTCGTTTTCGGCTCGAGAAAAATCCAAAGACAGTTTACCCGATGCAAGTCGGTGAGAAGTGCATCGAGAATAACGAGCATGTGGTCGCGGAACAATCGATTTACATCGAACGAAGCGAATGCGTCGTGCGAAATAATATCGCGATCACGCGAGTCTTATTACATCATTTCACGTATCGCTTGCAAACTGTCGTCGTCGTCATCATCATCGTCGTCGTCGTCACGGTCGTTCCGGTGAACGAGATACCCTCTAACCTATACAAAATCGTAATGACGGAACGAGTCGAAGATACGGGACGAGAGAAACGCAGCGCGGGCAGTGGAAACGAACATTTACCTGTCTCGCAACCGGTGTCGCAGCCGCTCATTCCGCGTGCTCCATTTGCCGCTCCGTTTTGCGCGCGAGAGTATTTATGTAGTAAATCGATACATAACGAAAATCCTCCGGCAAACTCGCACACACGCTCCGTGTTGTACGTGTCGACGACGGCACCTTCCGAAGCGCAAAACGTTTCCCTTTCCTTTTCCCTCCACTCCGCTGCCGACAACAGCCGACAAGTCGACGGTCGGTCGCCGCGCCGCTTCTTCGCTTCTTCGTCTTGCGCGACTCGCTCTTCTCGTTTTACTTCTTTTTTTCTTTCCCACTCTCCTCTCGCGCGATAATGACAGTTGTCGTGCGCGTGCGTATACGTTCTCTTGTATTATGCGGAAAAATAAAAGGACGATCAAACTCTGATTAGCTTAATCGACAATTAATTAACTCGACGACCGATATCCGCGGTAGCTTATTAACACCTTTAGAGCTAATGATATTCATAGTTCGTTCTTATTTCAAAATAATATCTTGAGATATATATATATAAAAATATAATATTATGATATTATATAATTATTTAAATATTATTATTATAGATACTCAAATATAAATATCGGCCTAAAATTATCGATTCATTTGATATGGAATGAAATTAAGGAAAATAAGTCATATGTTTATAAAATTTCAAATCAATCACGTCGGTGATTGATTTGAAATTTTATAAACATATTAATTAATTAATGTAATTAATTAATGATAATTTAGTTATTCATGGAATTTCGTCGAAATGAAAAGCACAAGCCGTTTTATTTTCTTTCCTTATAGAAATTCAACACTGGACAGAGTAATAATTATCACACAAAGAGTACGGTCAACGCGATGTTGCAAATACTTTAAAACGTTTTTTAATTAGTCAGTTTGTAAAATTCTCTTTTCTAATTTGTAATTGGTCCATCAAATGCTTCAAAACATTTGTAGCGAGACTTTGACCACAGCCTTTTGAATATTAAAAGTTGTTGTTCAGATATACTATATGTATATCAAAATTATATTTCCAGAACTGAATCGTTGGATTTCTGCAAGAACTATAAACGTTCTCCTGCATTCTATTTTATTACAATAGATCTATTTTTATCGCTGCATTAAACTGCACTTTCTATTGTGACTTTTGCCAAAATCAAACCTATATTTATTTCACTTTAAGTGTAGTGTATTAAATTCAAATAAAAACAGACTGGTTATTATTAGAAACCATTCGATGTATATTCGGATATAAAATATATATTATTATCAGCGACGCCTGAGATGAAAATAGATAGAAATATATAAAATTAATAACCAGATAAGATTAGATAACACACGATGTAGTGACCTCACGTCAAGACAAATCTCACGTGCATTTCCGATGATCCGGAATTCGCATTTGTTTTCGAAATACTTCAGAGCATACCAGTTCGAATTATTGTCGCACTTCATCGGGCCGGATATTCGGTGCGCGACAGACGCGTCACGCTTCGCGCAGGCGCAAGTAACACGTGTCCGTTGGCAGCACCATCGTTAAAGCGTTCTCGCCAATTCTCATCTTTTTCTATCCCTTTTGTCTATGACTTGTGGCAACGTTTGTATCGTGTCACGATGAAGGTAAGAATCCACGAATATCACAGAAATCACGCGTCTTACACGCGAAATATAAATCTTTTTTGATGCATCGAAATATCGATGTCGCGACGATATTTGCATATTCGTCGAGGCTTTGTCTATCTTCATGTATCACTGACCGTAAAGTGTCGGCATCAGGTGTTGTCAGGTGAAACATGCGGATTTTTCGCCGCATTAATTGTTGCATTAAAAGTGATTAAAAAGTGTCTTCTGCTGTTTTAATTCGAGGAATTGATATCTTGTGAAGAAATTGTTTATTTTTTTTGTTTTTTTTTGCTGTACTCTGTAGAGAAAAAATCCTAACCTAGTTTAATCAGTCTTAATTTAGAAGTCCGAGACCCATTCCATCAATGTATATTTGAACTCGATATTTATTCAAAGAACTCCTTTAGCTCCAATTTTGTTGAAATTATTCTCTCTCAATTCAAATTAGATTGCATTCCATTGCATGATTTGCATAAAATATGATTTTATCCTTGTTATTCAAAGTGTTAAACAGGGATAAAATGGTACATGCTCATTATGCATGCAACACAACATAGCTTTACATTTCATCTTTTTCTAATTCTTAGAATTAGAAAAAGATGAATAAGTTAGACAAAAATGAAAATAAATTTACTGATGGAAATGAATATTATTGGATTGTCCGGAAAGTTCGTGCCGCAAAAGATTTAAATTTAATAAATGAAATTAAAAATTTAAATCTGCGTTTCAATTTTCCTTCAAAATCGGCATGAACTTTCCAGACAACCCAATAGATGTATTGTGTATAACTATGTTGTGTATTAATCTATGCATTTGGTTATTGCAGTTGAACGTGTCATATCCTGCAACAGGATGTCAGAAGCTGTTTGAAATTTCAGACGAGCACAAGCTCAGAATTTTCTATGAGAAGCGTATGGGTGCTGAGGTCGAGGCCGATGCACTGGGAGATGAATGGAAGGGCTATGTTGTCCGTATCTCTGGCGGTAATGACAAGCAAGGTTTCCCTATGAAACAGGGTGTCCTGACAAATGGTGGGTTCATGATACATTTATAATATGATACAATTAATATGTATAAAAAATTGTTTTTAAAGTTAGAAATGATTATTTGAAACGATTAAATTTCATTTATTTAATCTATTATCATTTTGCTATAATTCTCTTGAATCTGTAAAAGATATCGAGAACACTTGCGTTTTTTATATCTATATTTTTATATCTATATTCTGAAATGATTATTATCACACAGCTTGAAAGTTACATAAATGAGGAAGTAGGGGTACTACTTTCCAGTAAGAGACACAAATGACAATATAACAAATTGAATCATTATATTATTCTTTGCCAATGTTAACAAAGAAACAGAGATACATTGTAACATAGAGAATTGTATTACAATATAGACATTTTCTAGCAAGGACTTAAGATCCAACTTAACGCTGGAAAGGCTTCTTTACTTTATCAATGAGAAGAAAGAAGTTTACAAATTGATCAATCAAAGAATGCTTTAAAACATTTGCAACATGAAGTGGATTGCATCCACAGTATAATGCAGAATTCATCTTATTTAATGTTAGCAAACAATAAGGATGATTCATTATGTTACATCATATCCTTGCTGGAAAACACTCTGTCTCTTGCTGAAAAGCACCATAGACCAATGAAATTATAAATGTTTAGTAAATTTGCTGATTTTTGTAATTTTCAATCAAACTTCTGACTTAAGTTAAGACTAAGGAAGTTTCTTTTAATATGATATATTATTTGCACAGGACGTGTACGTTTATTGCTTTCCAAAGGACATTCTTGCTACAGACCACGACGAGATGGTGAGCGCAAGCGCAAATCCGTTCGTGGTTGCATTGTAGACTCCAATTTGTCTGTACTAGCACTTGTCATCATCAGGAAAGGCAAACAGGTAAATGATCATTCACGATATATTTTGTCAAATATTGACCCATGTTGTTTAGGGTGTATTCAAGATATTCAATTTTCTTGAAATACAATCGTACACATGGAAGATGAAATTCGTTTTTTGATTTGGGAAATTGCTATGTCATTTATACTTTTTCTCAGTGTACGAACGAAACATGCTTTTAGCCATTATTATTAATTTATTCTGAATTTTTTATACAAATATTTTATTATTACATATTATAATTCTTTGTCGCTCGGTGCAATTGATCTCGTGATCTGTAGATCCGGGTTCAATCCCACCTGCACTCACATATGCGATATTTCGCGTTTAAGAAGCTGAAAATAGCTGATGATTAGATCTTTGATCACCAGTGCCATTTAGATCCGGCATTAAACTGTAGGTTTTATATATCTGTAGGTGGATATATGAATCCTTCAGGCTGGATACATTAGGTTAATAATAATAACTTAATAATAACTTAATTAGTCAGCTTAATAGATGACAGATTTCCTACAATAATATGATATTAATATTATATAATAATATGAATTACAGGAAATCCCAGGCTTGACAGATATGAACGTACCGCGTCGTTTAGGACCGAAAAGGGCAAGCAAAATTCGCAAACTGTTTAATCTTTCGAAGAAGGATGATGTTCGGCAGTTTGTAGTAAAACGACCGGTCCAAAAAGAAGGAAAAAAGGAGCGATTTAAGGCACCAAAGATTCAGCGTTTGATCACTCCTATTGTTCTTCAAGTACATAATTTTATAAGAATTCATAGAGATATAGATAGATATATATATTTTAAAACTATACTAAAATTAAAATTAAATTAGATTATTTGCTCTCTAAGTTAAATAAAATATAAAAATATTTAAATTTAGATTCTTTTTTTATTCTAATATATTCTAAAATATTTATAAAATGTTTGCAGAGAAAAAGACACAGGCTGGCGTTGAAGAAGAAGCGCTGTTTGACTCGCAAAGAGCAAGCAGCGGAATATGCCAAGTTGCTAGCGCAACGTCAGAAAGAGGCGAAGAACAGGCGTCAAGAAGAATTAAAACGAAGACGCAGCGCTTCTTTACGCGAATCCAAGTCTTCAACTCAAACGGCACCAGCCGCACAACAGTAAATCAGTTAAATCCTGAAATGTATTTACACATCAATAAAAAAAATGTCGACTACCTATAGTCTTCTCTTTTATCATATCAATTTCCAATCATTATTTTCTACATAATGGTAGACATTAAATATGAATAAAAAATAATAGAAATATAAACAATTTTTCTAACAAATATTAATTTGTAATTATTTAATTGTCAATAATTTATCAAAATATTAAACTATCAAATATACTTTATTAATGTATAATTCGTGAACTAATGATACAACCAGAAAAGAGATGATTGTAATGAAAAGATTAATCAAAAATGCACAACAAAATTGTTTCATGTAAGGCTTGTTTTCGAGAAAATTGATTTAGAATATTTGTCAAGTATATGTGCAATTTACTATAAATTTATTTTTTTATTTTTGCACAAAACTATTAAAATTTTGTTTTCACTAAATACCAGACCTGTAATTTGTATATAACTTTTAATATAATTTTAAAATTTCCCAAGTGTACATCAGTTCAATTACAGAAAATAGGTCTCATAACTTGACATAATGACTCTCCTTGTAGATCGTTATTTTTATCTCCACTTATGTTTATTAATTACTGAGTAATCTAGAATATATGGTAAAAATAAAAT